TATAATACTATACTGTAATAAAAGTTACATAAACATGCTTTCTCTCTCTCTGTCTCTCAATATTTTAATATTTTCAGACCGTGGTTAACTGAAACCACAGAAAGAGAAACCTCGGGTAAGGGGGGGACTGCTGTATGCCTTTAATTCTTTCTGTAAACATGATAAAATCACAGGGATGTCCACAGAACTTCATGTTGCTTATGTTTGAAATGGGAATAATCCCTTCCACAAGTGCAAACAAACCCTTGAGCCCTGTGCTGTGTTCTGGTTTCTTAGGAAAGCTGTGGGCAGGGTCCGTGTGGGGTGCTGGGACGTGGTCCATCACAGGTAGCGAGAAAGCCTCTAGATCTTTGAGTATCAAGCCTGGATCCCTGTGACCTGTTTCTTTTCCAGCTCGGTCCTCCCTGTACCCGACCTCTAAGCAGAAAGTGCACACAGAGGAGGAAGGGCTCGTTAATGAGCTCCTGACAAGCTTGTTCAAGGTGAGTCAGATATTCTTGTTCCAAATCATTATTCCTACAGCCACAAGTTAGAGTGTGACTTTTCTGTGGCCTGGAGCCTCACCCAGACTAGGTCCTCAGGCAGCCCAGGATCTCCAGGCATCTGATAAGGGGTAAGGCTGTGAGAAAATGTCAGTGTATGTCAACATGTACTGCCTCTTCAAAGCTTCCTTCTGTTCATTGTGTACATCACGTGCTCCTGATAGTCTAAGGGAAAGTCAAGTAAACACATGGATGTGTTCTAAATAAAGCAATTTATAATGGCCCTGGGGAAATCATTCATTCATTTACCAAGTATTTCTCTGATTTCCCCAATGTCCCAGGCATTTGCTTAACTTTGAAGATCCAGGGTAATAAGATTGCAGGAGCTCACAGTCTGATGGAAAGAGAAAATCACTGTGTGTTAGGGTGCATTGAACCTTGGGGGTGGGCCTGAGTAGACAGGAGATGGGTGTTGAGGGCTGAACCAAGAAGCCAGTGAGAGAAGAGCTCAGAACCGTTTCTACACATTTTGTGCTCCCCATCCCTCATCTCTCATCGTTGACCCTCTTTCTGTTCATATTGGTGGGGGCGATCCTTGGCTAAGCCATGATGTTTTCAATGGTTTAGGACCTGGTGACCTTGGAGGATGTGGCTGTGGACTTCACCCAGGAGGAGTGGGCATTGCTGGAGCCTTCTCAGAGAACCCTGTACTGGGATGTGATGCTGGAGAACTTCAGGAACCTGGCCTCACTAGATAAGCCTTATATCATTCCTGCATCTATTTAATGATTCAGTAACAAGACTGTCCTTTCTTCTCACTGTTTTATTGAGGTAAAATTCACAGAACATTAAATTCACTAATTTAAACTATTTTAAAGTGCACAATTTGATGGCTTTTAGTATATTCAATGTTGGGCAACCATCAACACTAATTTCAGAACATTTTCATCAACCCTAAAAGAAACCCCCAATCCTATTAAGCAGTAAATACCCATTACCTTCCCCGCCCCCTGCCACTGGCAACCATTAATCTACTTTCTGTCTCTATGGATTTGCCTGTTCTAGATATTGCATATAAAAGGAATCATGGGATATATGGCCTTTCCTGTCTAGTTTCTTTCGCTTCACATGATGTTCTCAAGGTTGATCTATGGTGTAGCATGTATCAGAACTGCACTCTTTTTT